TGACTGGTTGTTTAGATTGGCTTTTGAGTTGGCTGTTTGACTAAAGTTGTAGTGTTTGGTAAATTGGCTATTGGGTGCTAACTGTTGTTAAACTATATCAACACTAATGAACTAATATAGTACTTTAATATTAATTAAAATAATAAATTATTGGTAATAATAATTGTAAATTAATTATTTACAATAAGTTTACAATAATTTTATAATAATTAGTTATAATTCAAAATAATTAATTATTGGTTATTAATTAACAATAATTGTATATAAGTTATAAATTGATAATTATAAATAATAATACACTATAAATTACTAATATTACTCCATTTTAAAACTATTTATTAAAAACTAATTATTGAATAATAATAATTATTTATTAACTATTAAATACTTATTCAAAAAAAATAAATTAAATACTAATTATTAAATAATAATAATTTATGACTCTTTTGCTCTATCTTCTTTCCCTTTGGACGCCACCGTACTTTAGTGCATAATCACAGTGGGGTTCAAGCTAGGGATAATGCTTGAAATATTTCCTACAGTTTTTGGCGACTCCACCGGGGAGGAATTCTATTTTAATTCCTGAAATTTATTTCGGCAATGATTTAGAATAAGTGGATGAGACTCAAAAAGTTCTAAGTATTTCATGTGCGTAATTTTGATTAACATTATTGTCATATGCATAAAAAAGATCTCATTGGAAAGACCATCCGTAATGAGTTAAAAACATAGGATTTTTTACACGTAGGAAATTTGAGGAATATCTTTCACAACTAGGATCGAAATAATGCTGCGCGAACCTAGAAAATTTTATCGAGCACAGAAAGCTGCTGAGGCATGTAGGAACTGGCGTCCAGAAAACAGATTCTGTCGCCGATGATTTGACTCTCCTGTCGCCAGGCGATAGAACCAAATTGCGGCGACGACCTCTGTTCGCTTGCGCCAAGTTCTTCCAATACCGAGCCAGAAATATGCGTTCTAATTTTGACCAGTTTTTAGCACTGTTTGCTCGATCCTACTTCCTTATTGAGTTTTTCTCTCTTTTCTGAAACCCATATGTTCTCTACATATAGACATAACGCTCTGGGAATTCATGCTCCATCTACTTGATTGAATGCTCTGTGCAACAAAGGGTACATCCGAGAATGTTGAATTCACCAAACCATGGAAGCGAGTTTTTAACTCGCGGTGTCCCATCCACTCGCGCCAACCCTTCAAAAGGTAAGCTTCCGCGCAGTGCATCTGAACAAGTAACCATGGACCCTCTTTTACTAACCCATATCCCGAACTTTAGAGAACTAGAGCCATGGTTAGGTTGCAAACTCATTGCATTATGTTGTGCCTACTTTCCTAATTGTGCATTATTTGTTGCGCATACTCTATGTGTTTTTCCTAACCGTTTATTTGACTTGTGTTTAAGATAAAAATAAACTGATTAATGACTAAAAGGACTTTGCCTAATTAATTAATTAATTTGAGTAATTAAAGTTTAATAATTTAATAAGAATTCACTTAGTACGACTTTAGGCATGTCCCGTAGAGTTAATATACTGAAAGCAGTCCCAGATTAACGCTCCAGCAATGGCGCCACGATTTGGACTGCAGCGCCACACTTTGTTGTGCAACGCCTGGAGACAGCTCTGTCGCCTGGCGCTGCACTGTAAAGTGCGGCGACAGTCCTGTTGCTTTGGCGACAGTTCGGTATTTTGCTCGAGTCATCACTATGAGTCTAATTAAACAGTTTGCTAATCAATTCGATAATTTTGTTAATAAAAATACCTTTGTTAAGTCCTTAATCGAGTATAGACACTAAGTCCCATGGTCTTACACAAGAATCAAAGCATGTCACTTGCACTCACAACATAAAGCACACACTAATATGTATATACACCATGACCAAGTCTTAGGTTCATGCATGAGTCGGTTTTTTCCGTCATTTGAGTTGGGGGTACATTCTATTCCTAACTTCTTCATATCTCTCCATCTACATCATCTTTCCATTCTCTACATGATTCCTCCATATCACAACCTTTATTCTTCCTACCTTCTTCCATCCTTGCACGTCGTATAGAGTTTGAGTCAAATAATTAACAATGAATATCCCTAATTTCCCTTTCCACAGTACATGTCAAGGAGAGAAGGGCGATTAATCAAGGACAACACCTTCATTCAAGTTCAACTTTTTGATAAACTAGTGAGTTGGAAAAGAAAAGCTAAGAAGATAATGGCAACTCAGGAAGAAGTCAACAAACTTAGGAGTCAATTAACTGACATAACTGAAGTGTTGAAGGCTTTAACCCTCAAAATCAATGACCTTGTGAAGCAACAACAAATGGAGCTCATGCAAGAGAGCTTGAGCAAGATATCCAATGACTATAAATTTCAAGGCATTAGTTCACAAGGGGTCTTGATAGATAAGGAGCTTCTTCTGCAGAAGTTCAATGCCACTGACATCCCTAAATTCAAGGCAACAGATAATCCTTATCTTCACTTGAGAGACTTTGAAACTATAATGAACATTAAGGGGATTGATAGGAAAGTCTTTCATTCCTTATTTTCCTTATCTCTTGAAACCGTTTGCCAACAATGGTTCTTCTCCCTTGACAAAGAGAAAACCTCTACCTGGGAATCGATAGTAAACGCTTTCATTGATAGATATAAATGCAATATTCAAGTCAAAACCGATTATAGACAACTTGAGATGCTAAAACAAAAAGAGAGTAAAGGCTTTACTTTTTTCTTCAATAAGTGGAGGGAAACTTCCGCTAAAATGATTGAAGTGCCAAGCGAAAAAGAATCTGTAAGGATGTTCATAAAAAAATTACAAGAAAAGTATTCAAAGCACTTAAAATATCAACATAACTTGAATACTTTCAAGGCCGTCTATGACATAGGCATCGAGATTGGAGATGACCTTGCAAAGCAAAAAGCTACTAACAATAGCAACAACAATGGCTGGAAAGGAAAGAAGAACGAAAATCCTTCTTCTTCTGAAAATGCCCACTCTAGTAACAATGTTAGTACCTTTGATCTCAGTGAAGTCTTGGCCATGGATAACCAAGGATCTAAGAAGCAACTAAGGAAAGACTTCACCCCCATTGGGATGAGTTACAACAATGCCTTCGATCGACTCCATGCTAAAGGACTCATTACTCCCATTGGACCTATTCAAGATCCCGCACCTGAAAAGAGATTGCCTAGTTGGAATCCAGATGCACATTGCAAATATCATCGAGGTAGGGGTCATACTACTGAGAGCTGTTGGAAGCTAAATGAGGCTATCTAATATTTGATCGATAATGACAAACTTCCCATGCCTCCAGCTAGCAAGAAGAGCGAGTGATGATAAAGAAAACGACATAAGACAAGAGGTGAGCTTCAACGACAAGATTTCGTGACCTCCTTTTTTCTTTTCTTTTATTTATCCCTTCCCCAATAAGTCTAGCATAGGCACCTTTTTTTTTCCCTTAGATTTATCTTATAGGATCATTATTTCTTTTCCTTTAATAAAAATGAGCATTCATTTTCTTGCATATGATCATTTCATTACATTGAATTTAAAAAAAAAAAAAAAAATCCATGTCGAACTAAGCACAAGGCATACCAATGATTTGAGGCACCCCTTGTAGCCACATCATATCACCTTTCACCCTTCAAATATGCAATCCTTTTTTGATAAACCACTTTGAGCCTCGTCTAACGATAGACCTTTCATTTTTCAACCCATATCTACCTAATCTTGAGATGGGATGGTGTGTAACGTATGCAATTTTCAATTTCATAAAAATCTTGAGTGACTTCAAAAGATTAAAATAGCAAAAAATAAGAAAAAATAAATCCCTACTTAATAAAAAGTAGAATCTTGCTCTTATGAATAGTGTTGTGACAATTATAACCCCAAAATGTGTATTTATGCATTTGCCCCCATTTAATATTACAAGATTTTTTTTAATATTGTATATCTTCTCTATGCTATTACGTACTTTTTCATCTTCTCATTCAATCGGTTGAATTAATGGTTTCAAGTTTCAACCACAAAGTCACTGAAAATATGATCTTCAAAGGTATTTTTCAATTTTAATTTCAATTGTTTTATAAGGTTTTGATTGATTTTAGATTTTAAGGTATTATCCTTTTTAAGTTTTAGGGTCTGGATATTCATCTATTTTTCCTAAATTTGGTTGGATTTTGATGAAAAAAATATAGTAGTTAATTAAAGTGAATGGAGAACCAGAAACACTAAAAGCGAGGGAAATATACCAACTTCCGAGCACTACCCCATGGAAGCCCCTCATGTCTCTTTCTATTCTTTCAATTTGATCATTTCATGAATATTTGTTAGTGACTTTTTGGTTTGTCCAGTTAAGCGCTACCACCAATCCGATCAAAAGGTACTTTAATTCTATACGATATTTTAGGATTTTTATTTATGATCTTTATATTATACTTTGGTTTTGATTTTGGGTATTGTAGAATTTTACAAAGGTGGCTTTCAACATTACTATTAGATTCGTTGTTATGAGATGCAAAGGACATCTAAATTTCAATTATAATTTTGGGATTAAGAGCGTAAAATGAGAGTCCACAACTTTAAAAGATGCAATATTTTCAAGCACTACTACAAAAAAGACCTTAGAGAACTGTTGAAATAGGCTTTATAGAACGCTTTACAACCGTTCTTCTGCTAATCAATGTATAAAGAATATAGATCGCCTCGAATAGGCGTTCTGTATGCTAAGAAATAGAGGGCGGTCCTTAGTCATAACCGTTCTCTTTTCCCTTCCTGAAATCAGAAATTAATGAAGGAAAAGAGAACGGTTGAGCTGCTAAACCGTTGTATAATACTCCTTGCAAATAGAACTGTCACCTAAGACAACCGTCTATAATCTTCATTTTTTGTAAAATAAAAAATAAATGGCCAAAATATCTAGCTTGTACATTGACATTTTGTATTCCAGTATTTCTACAGTATTTTTCTTGTATAACCATTTTTGGATATATTAAAATAAAAATTACTCTACTGATGAAAAAAGCTTGTATTTATAATATTTAGTAAAAAAAATCAATATTTTCTATGTAAAATACACCCTTGTGTCCTATATGTACAAGAATAACACGAATGACAAACATATCTAGGATACTACCAATTTAAAAAGTTACAATTTTTTAACAATGATTTCACAAGTATTTGACATATTGTAACATGATTTCATCGCTTGCTGCCGCATTCACCATAGGTTTCTCTTCTTCAGTAAGTCTTCTTCACACTTTCAATAGTCAGAGATGAATTTAATTTGAGAACAAAACCTGTATAAATCAATACCATAACAAATTAAATTCCGAAATACAAAACAAAACAAAAACCAAATTCACAACACCAACATAATATTTATTTTGAAATAAAATCAACCAAAAAATGATAATAAAAAAAAATAGATTAGAGAATTTACACAAGCATAACTACAGTTACAAAATATTACTACAGATCTAAAATTCTCATAAGCTAAGTGATAGTATATATATGCTTTTTTGAAATCGTAATTCCAAAATCTAAAGAATCATTGCGCACTTCATAATTTCTTTAATAACCCCAAAATTCAAATCATTTACAAAATTATATGCTGCTAAATTGTTCTTGTAACAAATTATAACAAAATTTACCTGATTTTTCCTATCTCCCATGATACTGACAACAAACTCGATACTTTAGAGTTGCAATCGGAGGTATTGGGAGTGACAAAATCGTTGCTGCCATGGATGATTGGATTTTTCCGTTCAATGAGGAGAGAAAGAATGGGGAAATGAATCAGGTAAAATAAAAAGGATGCGGATAGAATAAGATATGAGTAGGGTTAGATTTGTTAAAATATAAAGTAATTGCCTAAATTTACATATGAAAAGTAGAATAATGTATGGGTGGGTGGGCTTGTTGAAATTAACGCAATTGACTCCATTTAACCACCTTTATACGAAGTAATAGGAAATAAAATCCCTTAAAAAATTAAAAAAATATTTTCACCCAAACAATTTACAAAAATACGAGTACTACATGAAAATTGAAAGTATTTAGGTGTTGGAGGACACTAGGTGAAAAAAGTGCTTTGGCAGCGGTTCAAACCCGGTCTAAGCCACCGGTTTGAACCGCTGCCTATGTGGGGGGTGCCAAATACCCCCCTTTTTAGCATCGGTTCAAAACAGGTGCTATAGACCCAATTTGGCACCGGTTAACCGGTGCCTTTAACTGTTTTGGGCACCGGTTAACCGGTGCCTAAAATAGTCTCCCGCCGATTTTTTTTGGGTGGTAGCTATCTTTGGCACCGGTTAACCAGTGCCTATTTACCCAATTTTATTTATTTATTTTCCAATTTTCGTGCAATAATGTTAAAAAAAAACCTGTTTTCAGCAATAATAATAACCTGTAATTCCAGCAATTATATTAAATAAAATAATTAATAATATTATTATTATTATAATTACTACTAATAATAATATCATTAATTATTACAATAAGATACAAAAATAATATTAAAAACAAGAATTCAATTATATATATAGATATAAATATTCTCAAACGCAATACATTAAAAAAAAAGTTGCTTATATATATATACAAATAATAGTAAGTAAATATTTACTGAATAATAATATATATAGTTCAAAAGTTAACATAAATAATTTAAAATTACAATGCCATTTACATGTTGAAGGTGATAAAAGACGCCAACTTGTCACGAACTTCATTAAGCTCTTTGATTGTCAACGAACCATCCTTTTGGACCTTGCAAAACTTGAAATACAAAAACATTATGTTAAAATTAATTAATTAGGCAAAACAATATGTATTTTTATCAAATATTACCTATATGACTTCTATGTAGCCCATTTCCTACATTACTTATCAAATGAACTATTTCTTTCTCATAACATGTCAATGTTGGATAGTTGTATGTGTGTAAGCCCTAAAATTGAATCAAAAGAGCATTTTATTAAGGTTTATGACGCTTTTTACTCAAAATGGTCCGAATATGGCCTATATGACTTTACTTTGCCCATTTCCTACATTTCTTATTAAATGAACTTTATTTATCTCATAACATGTCAATATTATCTAGTTATAGGTGTATAATGAAAGAAATCACATCAAAAGAGCATATTAACACAAAATGGCCCTAATATGGCCCATATGACTTCTATTGAGCCCATTTTCTACCTTTCTTGTCAAATTACCTTTTTAATTCTCATAACATGTCAGTGTTGGGTAATATTAGGTGTCTAAGGCTAAAAATCACATTAATATAGCATTTCATTAAGTTTTAGGACTTACCTCATCAAGCTGTTGAGTGTCCGTACAATGAGTCACAATGTCAAGCATGAATCTCATCACATACAAAGCACAATCAAGTCCATTCTCTTGTTGTGCGCACTAGCATATGACAAACAATCACATCAGTGAAACGTGCAAAGGAAATTAGCAAATATTTACTAACATAGATTTTGAAGATAATCACAATATCATGTAAATTACCAACGGTGACTTCCATGTTGGACCCTTTGGAGCACGACAATGTAGCTTCTTCATAACACTGTAGTAAAAAAATTACATTCAAATTTGATTAGTCGTATGACTATTAAATTAGTTATTATTAGCAATAATCATCACTAGGTAGCTATATATATTTACTTTTGCAATATAGACTTCACGAGCCACTCCTCTGATGATCGAACTGAATTAAGGTGATAAATTGTGTTATTGGAATTACAAATCACCATGAGGATCCAATGCTCCCTACATAAGTTCACAATAGACAAGCAAATTAATATTTAGGAGTCAACATATAATGAGGCCAAATCGATTGAATTTGACATGGTTAGACTTACTTTTTATAACATGGGGCGAATATGAACTTGTCTCCCGCACGCGCTGATTCCTTGATACTTTGCTCAACATAGTACAACACGTCATGAGGGTTGCCTATGATTCTAGTAGTGGATAACTGCTCGGGGCATAACCACCCAACTTTACAAGGAGAATCAGTTTCAGTTAAGTGCTCCTGTAGTGCTTTGCGTGCATGAACATTGAATAATTAATCAGATGTAGGATAATCACCATCAATTTGAATAACTTGGAAAAAAGTGTAGATTATGTGGGCATTGAAGTACCTCATGAATGTTTGAATGAGGGAAATGTTAAACTTTGCACCACGTAGAAATTCCTTCACATCTTCTTTGCTGATCCATGCAACTGCATCCTCATCATAGTGAAACATTGCCTTAGGAAGTGCAACTTCCATGGGATCGACCAAATGACAAGAACGGTTGTGAAGAAAGTTCATGTCAGCAGAGAGCGATTGAAGAACAATGTCTTCAACTAGTGGAGTAGGTTGCATGGGTAAACCTTTCAAAGAGTGCAACTTCGACGCTTGTTCACTCTTGGACCTTTGTTCACTTAGCTTATTCTTAGGTTGATCAATGATTTTAGGTTTGTCCATGACAAGCGCACTTTAGGGCGCGCTTTAGAGCATATTTTAGGATGATTTTGGATGTATTTGGGGCCGCTTTGGCCGATTATTACCTTGTTATGCTTACGTTCCCCATATTACGTGCTTCACGGGTTTTCGGTTTTTTTTGATGTGTTTTCAGGTAATATCAACCGAGTTTAATCAGATCCGAGCCCTTGATGCGTAACCAAGCTAGCCTTGACCGAAGTCCGAGGAGTTAAGGAAGTTCAAGTGCCGTGCATTGATTACATAGCACAGGCAGCACGGCCGTGTTACCATAGGCACACCCGTGCTGGCCTATAAGCAAGCAACCCCAGGCAAGGAAGCACGGCCGTGCAAGCCAATAGCACGGCCGTGTCAGTATCCACGCACCCGCACGGCCGTGCAGGCCATTAGCACGGCCGTGCCAGATGTTGCCCGTGCCCGTGTCAGCTTCAGTATGAGCCCCGTGCTAGAGCATATTCAGCACGGCCGTGTCTTTTTTAGCACGGCCGTGCCAGGGAGCTGCACGGCCGTGCCATATATAGCACGGCCGTGCCAATTTGAAGAAGAAATCCGGTTTACTTACTGACAAGCTAGCACAGTCGTGCTGATCCAGGGTTAACTGCGCGCTTGACTTCTCCGCATTAGAAGACGTATATAAGGCCCAACTTTAAGAGGATTCCTCATACAGTTTTTTAGAGATAGTTTTTGAGAGCCTTTGTAGAGAGTTATTGGAGAACGTTATTAGTTTTAGATATTCATTAGTTTTCTTAGAGATTATTCTAGCGATTTTAGTTTTCTTGGATTGATTTGAAGCAAGATTTGTGAAGATTCTTTGTATTATTCATTGACGACGGATATCAAAGTTCTGAACTTTTCCATTGATTCACATCAATACAATTGGTATTATTCATTCTTGTTTATTAATCAAGCTTTATTATTCCTTAATCAGAATTCATGTTTATATCTATTATGCTTTTGGAATTCATTATTGCTTTGATTATGAATATGTGTGAGTAGTCTCCAAGCTAGGGTTTCGGGATGAAACCCGGCCTAGGTAATCTATGTAATTGAGGATTGATTTTGATAAACGGATTGTGATTAAATTGATTATATGCGATTGCATGTTAATTCATTATAATAGGAGTAGCTAACCTAGAATCTTGAATTTGATTGCATGATATCCTTGATTTGAACAAGAGATTGTGAATTGAGTATTTCATTATTGAATGTGGTTTGATTATGTATCGAGTAATGTTAAGTGCATGAGAAATCCAAGCTTAGTATTGCCCGTTGTCTTCCTATCACATGATATTGATTAGACATATAGTCTTTGCATATCCCGTTTGTCTCTGTGATTCCTTATTGCATAGTTACCGATGGTTTGGTGAATTCCCGTTCTCCCTAGTGTCTTAGTTTATTGATTTATTCCATCTTATTAGTAGTATTTTAGAACACCATTTCCCATTGATTTCGAACTAGCTTAGGTTTAAGATTGATTTGCAATTACTCTCGTTCCTCGTGGACCGAACCTTTATTTGCCATTGTACTTGGTTATAGGGTGTTCGTATAAGTATTGTTTGATTGAGAGTTAGATTGTAGCGACCGATTTAACCCTCGTCAAAATGGCGCCGTTGCCGGGGAGCGGTGTTTGTTAATTGCTTTTTTATTTCTTGAGTCTAGTTCATCATAAAAAAAAAGCACAAAAAGATTTTTCCCTTTTGGCTACACTTGTAGCCCTGCTATTTAATTGGTTTGGTTAGTGTGTATGCACAAGTCTAAACAGAGAGAATTAATACTCTTCGATCCAGAAATCAAAAGAACTTTGAAGAGCAATCGTAAATCTCGATTGACGTCATCAAACTCTCAAGGAAAGGAACACAACACACAACAGGTTCCAATGGAAGACATACTGCGCCAACCTAATCGGCCAGCACCACGACCCCTTAAGGAGTTGGGAACTCCTGGGGCGTATAGAGCTTCAAGTGGGATTGATCCACCCACTACTGAGGCCAATGATTTCGAGATCCGGCCAGCTATGATCACCCTCATCGAGAGAAGGCAGTTTAGTGGTGCCAAGCATGAGAGCCCTTTGGCTCATTTGAACGAATTTGAGAAGTACTGCAATACCATCAAGGTTAATGGGGTGAATCAAGAGTTTGTGAGATTGAAGCTTTTCCCCTTTTCACTTATTGGGAGAGCTCTCGAATGGTTAGAGAAGGAGGTGAAGCCGAACTCTCTACACACTTGGGATGATGTCACGACAGCATTTTTGGGAAGATTCTATTCTCAAAAGAAGACGGCCGATGCTAGAGCCTTGATTCAAGGGTTTCGGCAAAGGAGTGGGGAGTCGATCTATGAAGCATGGGAAAGGTACAAGGAGTACCAAAGAGAGTGCCCACACCACGGAATCCCAACATATCAAGTTTTACAGATTTTCTATGGAGGATTGAGTCCTCAAGGGAA